TTTTATTAAAATTATGTATTATGAAAGCCAAAGAAGATAATTAAAATTTAAAAGTACAAATTCTTACCTACTTTAAAAAATGTACTATTAATTTCGATTCGAGTTTTGAATGTGTTTCAAATTTGCATTACTCTTAATTTTCTGTTGTTTTAATAAAACAAAAACTTTAATAGCGCTTAACATCAGAGCTAAGAAGTTTTTTATGTTGAGTGGAGTACATGTAGTATTCGTATTAGGTATGGTTCAAACCATATAACAACATAATCATAACCATATAACCATATAACAATTTGAAGAACAGATTTCTGTTCGAACATGTTCGAGCTGACGAAACATTAATTCATCAATTTACTCAAAATTGGAAAAATATAATTGGATACTTTCTGATTATCCGTAACCCCATTTTATCTCGCCAAATCGCAAAGTCAATAGCACATTGTTGACTTTGGGAATTGGCGAAAAATGTACATTTGGCTAACTTTATGGCTCATAGATACTGTTCTATTCATAAACCAAGACAAAAAGAAGCAGGTTTTAAAAAGCATGAAATTAAGTAAAAAAACAGTCTACATAGCTGATGTTTACATTTTTACAGCTGATAGATTCTATTCAGCAAAATAGCAATTAAATAAAAAAGCGTGGAAATCCACTTGAACCCAAATATGTGTATGGTACGCTCATGTTTTGATTTACCTATTGTCTCTTATATACTCAAAAATACGGCAAAACCACGGCACGTCTACCGAATATTGAATCCAGGATGCTGGTAACCAGAAAATACCAATACATGAAATTAAATTATCCTTAGTAATATTTATTATTCTTAGTGATCCACAGTAATTTTCTGCTATGTTTCAAACATACTGAAGCTAATACTTTTAATCATTATTGCTAACACCTAAATTCTACTACTCATAATATAGTTTATCTCTTTTGTAACAGTCCAAATGAAATGCAGTGCAGCTTCTGATAAGCATCCATTTTAACTCATTAACACCAACTACTGACAAATTTTCTTTCAGCTGAGAAACTTTATGTAAAGTGCGGTAAATCTAGTATTCGTATTAGGAAGCGTTCAAATTATGAAAACTTATTTAAAGCTTTTAGATATTACAATACACACTTTATAAATTATTTTTTCATCTATGACTAATGTAAATTCAAGAATGTTTAGTACTTACTGATAATAAAAGTCCCGTGTTTTAACCACCAGGTTGCTACCGAGATTACCTAGAGGTGCATTCTTTACCTCATTTCTTGATTGGCTAATCTGGCATAAGTATTTCTTTAGTCCCAAGAACGTCACATCAATTCCATACAGTAATACTCATAACTCATAAAGTTTTTACTCTGGCACTTAGAGAAGCCCCACAGTCTTGTGTGTGAGCAGCTGTTTTTCTATCAACTAATGAAATGTGTGGTTCACGGTAATCACAGTAAAATTAATCTAACTTACTTTTCTCAATTCGTCTGCTTCATACGCTCGCCAATAGTTTGAATAAATCGTCGACCCATCATGTACATGATCCACAAATTTTGTCATGAGTGTGATTCTCTCTCTATTCTGAAACTGAACAAGAAAGAATTCACCAGCTTCTTATGTACAGAGCTAGTGAATTCTTTTTTGTTAAATCTGTAAAAGAAGTTCCTGCCGTATGAACATATTTCCATAATTTTTATGAATTATCTCATGACTAGTTTCTATGTCGGATAGGATGAAAACGTTCGTCTCATGAAACTGTATCAGTCAAGAGTTGTATTAGCAAAGGTTGAGTTGCTTATCAGACCAATTAAAATGTTAATTTCTCTGACCAACTATTAATCTCTGTGCTGCTGCAAACGCTATTCTCGAGCTCCTGAACCACAGCATATGATGCAACTACAAATGCTTTGAATTATATATAATTTTATTTTCGTTGCCATTTCCGCCTATCCAAAAGAAAAGTAAAATGCATCTTTCTAGGAAGAAATGTGTAATATCTTCACCACATTTGGCTAAATCAAATATTGTTACACATTTTTCGAAAAATGAAAATACGATAATATGGGGCTTACTCGGAGTTCCTGCGAGAGCAAACAATAAATTATTGTTATTAAGGCTACCGTCTGTTTGAAGATGGCTTGCGACTGACTATTCATTGATAATTCTCTCGCTTTTAATATATGGAGCTGTAATAAGGAAGTACTGAATATATAATAGTAAAAGAGAATCGAAATGGATAGTGGTAAGTTTATTTTCGGTATTTGATTCAATATCGTAATAAGGGTTATATTTAAGTGTTAAAATTTTAACTTTAACAATAATAATTTTAACAATAATATATTTTTCTATTGACTACTTTTTAATAAGAAAATGATATCATAAACTGGGATTAGTATTTTCTAGAGATAAACATTATAATAAATTTTCGTATCCAAATTATAATGGGATAATTTTTATTTGCTTTAATGATATTTCTGTATTTTAAATAATTGCAAATACCAACTGGCTTATTTTCTTTTTACATCATCAACTTACCTTATTAGTTGCTATAGGGTTAAGAGCAGTATTTTGACAAATTAAGTTTTCATACAATAGGCAAAGAGATTTAAAAATAGACCTAAGCATTTACTAGTTCCTAATTGAACGCCATTATTCCTCTCTTATTACCGTTTTTATAAATTGTATCAGATACTTAATACAACTAAAATACAAATGGCAAAAATAAGATTAATCTGAACATTATCAAATATATTTCATTATTTAATGCAAATTCTTCCTTTAAATAGCACAGGAATGATGTATTGAACATTATAGTCTGAAGCAATTCATTTATAAACAGTATAAGTATTTGCAGTCGCACAACGAATGATACCTAATTCCACCGGAATAAAAATTCAGTTCCGTTCGAGCGTGGTTAAAAGGCTTTGTATTTATTGTCTCTGCAAGCTACGATATGATAAATGAAAAGAGAATACTGTCAAAGAGTGTGATATACTAGGTAAAAATCATAAGGATGCTAAATAAAAAATATTATAGAAATTTGAAACTTTAAAAAGAGTTATTTAACAGTTTTTGCTTCAGCTTTGGAAACCAAAAACTAACCCGGATACTGGATATTAACTCTCCATGTTTTTTCTGAACTTTCTTTTGTGAAGCTTTCAGAACTCCAAGAAAGAGAAGCACATGTGGGAGAAAAAATACTGTAATAATTGAATTATATTTAATCATAGATAAGCCTTACAGTATCGATCACTAAGAAACGCTAAAACAGAATCTAATTTTAATCTTACTCAAAATCCTTATCGATAAAAAAGGTAAGTTTAACAAAGAAAAATCTCTCTGAAGAAAGTCTCAGGCAGATAGCGCTGTTTATACATTTTAGGAATTGAACTAGAGCTCGATTCTTAAAACTCTGAAAGCAACCTACGTACTTCGATATTCAGTCACATCTTGGAAAAAAGTAGGTAACATGTTTTTGCGAAATGCAATAAGAGGTTTCCATAAAATTCACGGCTATTTAAGACTGAATTTTTGTTTTAATTGTTTAAAGCTTTCAGAGCTTTTCTTCTATCTCCTATTGATACTCTGAAAAATAATTACAAAAACTTAAATCTAAAAGATATTATTTAATGGAAAACCTTGCATCTTCTAATAAAATTAATATAAGTATAAAAACGATTTTAATATACGAATAATAAATCTTAGACCTAAGAAAACAACGAAGCGATAGCAAAGTACATGACGCAATTAAACCAAAGCAGTAGAAATATAATTGACTCTACGCTTTTCTTCTAAAGGTTATCTGTAAAAGAAAACACTCCTTCCAAGACTGGAAAATCCAGCGTTTCAATCTTCTCGATTGTTATGTATTTCCAAAATTCACATTTCGATTCTATATCGAAGTTTTCAACAGAAAGCCAGCTCATAGTTCCGAAATTTTACTACTTTTTTTTATTTCAAAAGTAAAAGTCCTAAAGATCAGGTTCAAAATTTGTTTATTTGTATTTTTCTACATTAAATTAATTTTTTCGCTAAAACTGTAAACATTGAATTAACTCAAATTATTAGGTCAAATAATTACAAATTAGGACTCTGTTAAGTTAGTTTTGGGGGACCTAAGTGCAGAGATTTCAAAGCCATCAATGCCCATTTTCCTTTTTTCCATTAAAATAAAACAATATCTGAAGATTTATAGGATGATTATGTGGCCATATAAAACATATAGCCCTAGGTTATAACTATATGATCCAAAGGTTTAGAGCTCTTGGATATAGATATTAATCAGGAACTGCTCAAAACTAAGATGATTTACTCGATAAAATCATCAAAATTATTATTTTTATACGAGTCTGGATTATTATTATTATTTAACTGCAAGCAATTAGAAAATAATGTGTCTACATCGACTAACAGACTGAGAGATCATTTGATTCGTTGTATCATTTTGGCAAAGCAGAAGATGCTTATCTGCTAGAATAAGGGAATCTGTGTTAAAAAAACATGTCGTTATGCAAGAGGAAAACCACGAAAATCATAGACAGCCACCACAATCGCCGTGAACCGAAGGCCATGCTTCAAAATGTGGTATTCTCGAACGAGTACATACCAGCTTAATGTTTCTTTAGGAAAAAAAAACGGGCATCAGATTATCTGCTTCAAAGCAGAAAATATTTCTAAAATTAATGGCGAATTGCTGAATTTAAGTACTTTTATTTTTTGTACATTATGATAGGCCTATATTTAACTATTTCCATTTATTTTAATAACTGTAAACGTAGGTCCTTGTGTTGTTGGAAAGTTTTCTATATTATACTTGTAGTATCGAAATATAATATTTTTATCTAATATTTAATTTGTATCTTTCAGTGAGAGTTAGGTAGTATTTTTTAAACATTCACAGTTCTAGAAAATTTTTAAAATACAGAGATTTTTTAATAGTTCGTATAGTTTTAAAATTCTGATGTCTGAACTTATTTCTGTAACTGAATAATAATGAATTTACGTTCTTCTTCCCCAGTGATCTTCGATGCCTACGAAATACTATCCATACGAATCTGCTTGTGACATACCTCTTCATAGATCTCACTTGGATCATCACTGCAGTTCTTCAGTCTAGTTCATCCACTGAAGCCAATAAGGTATTTTAAAATTTTCAGTATATTTTTAGTATATACTATTTCAGTATATACTTGTTTGCTACTTATTATTTCTTACATTTCAATATTAAAAAATCATTTCCTAATAGTTAGGATGAATATATACAACATAAGTAAAAACAGGGCTTATTAGGAAAATCTGTTTAGTTAATTGCATTAATATCAATAACCTGTAAATAATACCGTAATATTCTTTAATTTAATTTTCAAAAATATTTTTCCTGCTATAATTTCCTTTGCGGGTTTTTATTTGCTGACATATTTCAGCATATTTTTAAATATCTCATCTTTAGAACAGTTTTTCTTCATCGTGTTACTGATTAAATTATCTTGAAATTACTCTCAAAAGCTTGACTAAGGATTCCAAATTATCTTTAGCTTCTACCAGTAATCAAAGAGCTAACGTTCAGAGCTCAGATTAATAATGCAAGTGTAGGGAAAACTCATTATCTCTTTAATAATAGAGCTAATAATGGACCTCATTTTTTCTTTTCACTTAAGTTATTAGTATTAGTTCTTTTTACTCATCGTTAACCTTTTGATCTTAAAAATAGCATTTCTATTTAAACAACTCGAATCGCTAAATGAGATGATGAGCGACCAAATAAGGCACTCTGTTACTAAAATAATGTTCGTCAAATAGTTGATGATCTTACGGAGTCTGAATTATCTTTATTTTGCCCTATTTTATAGCAGAAATCTCAAGTGTATGATGCAAGTTTATAAGCCTAAGTATGTATGTCTGGTACTTTCGTAAGAAAAATGGAAGTCGGAATTAACTTTTCTATTCAGTATTAATTCATTTTATATTGACTGGACAATTGATCCTCTATAAATGAGTATTATCCTGAATGATTCAGACAACGGGGTTCTCTAACTAAAGTTTACTATAGGGTTTATGTCCTTCGAGAGCAGTCCTTTTACCCTTGTTTGGAGATTTACCCTTGTTGGTAACTAAACTAGATGGTTAATAATGAATGGTGCCATAGTGTGCGCATTATTTAGCGCAAGAACTCTTTCCAAAAATTTAGTGATGCAATCATTAACTTGAAAGAATCTGAACATAATACAAAGGCGCGAAAGTGAATAGTAAATAAGGGTTAAGCACAAAGAAGCTGAGGTAAAACCTGACACGCATAAAAAGCATTTTTCTGAAGGAGGCTAAGCATCTCTGAAGTGAACTAAAATATCTTTTAGATTACAAATTGTTGGAAACCATTCTCTGACGCGGATACCTCCTTATGTTATCAAATTGTTATCGATGGAAAGCAAGGAAATATTTTGGTGTTATCCATCTCCCCATTAACACTGTGCCTCAAACGATCTAAAATAGGATACATACAACTTGCAGCAGACGCCCACCATTTAACTGAAATTCGTAGAATACATTGCTGTGCAACTTTCAAGAGATTAGAGAATGCAACAAACAAGATGATCGAATTTATTAGTCAGGTTAATTTCCTCTCCACTGTTGCAGGATTAATTCCCTGTGATATCATTCCCTGTTAATTGTGACATAACGTTATTCCTATAGACGCTACTATGTCAGAAAACGATTCAAAAGATATCTAATATTCTGCACGGTTATATAATTCAGAATCCAAATCAACTGACAAAAAAGAGCCCAATAGATTTTACTCTGATGGTGCAGTTGATACGAGCAATACATATTTTGAAATACAAATAGTTTACAAGATAAATATGACTTGGAAAGTATTGGAAGCATGCTGGTATGTTTTGCAATTGTTTTGCGGGAAGGTTTTGCCAATGTCCCAATGAAAGCGTATTTGCCATGAAATGGGTAAATAATATAAAAATTAGTATTACAGAAATAAATCTAAAGCTGCTATTTCCAGGTTATTTGTAATATTTGTTATTAACTAGTTGACACCACAGTTGAATGTAACAATCTTAATATCTTGATTCGATAATTTACTTTTATAACTGGTATTTAGTATAAATTTGAGTTATTTTTAAATTATTTAAACCCCATGGAAAAAGGCGATTCTCGATTTATGATATTCTGACTTAGGAATATTTTGTCTTACGAACATTTTGCAAATTTTCAAAGAGTATTTAAAATAGTAAATTTATTTTCGGATTGTGAAATGCTATGTAACCGCATACATACAATTCATACTGGTAAAACTGTTCTTAGACAAATAAGAAGATTCACTGCTTATTGCAAAGGAAAACAAACTGTACAGTCAAAATGTGCTATTTTTCTCGTGAATATTATAGCAGCTGAAACCTGCAACAAATGTAGATGACTAAATATTTATAATCTATTTTAAGTCCCATTAAAGAAGATAATTTGATAATCTCTCTATCCTATTATTCCCACAATCCGGTTGTTAATTTAAATTCCGTGCTTTCTAGCATTAAATGGTATAGTTGATTATGGCAAAGCACACTAAGGTTATCTACCTAAAAGGAGAGATAGCCTTCGGGGAGGACATTATAATCGATACTGGTTTGTATACACGTTACACATGGGGAAAACCACGAAACTGCCCTTGCAGCCAATCCTTTCGCACGGAATCAAACCCAGGTCTGAAATACCAGTGTTCAATGATTTTACCGCTCGGCCGCTGGTGGTCTGTCTTCTAGCATTAAATCAGGCTTTCAATTACAAGAGTTTCCACGATGACATTTTACTCATCATTTTAGTACATTAAAGAAATTAAACGAGGAATTAAGAGCTTTTCATTAAATAAGTTTTGTATTAAAGTTTGCAAAACCAGGCTAATGAAAATCTTCAGTACGAATGTATTGAGTTAGCACCTTACCTGCATTAGTTGAATTTTTGACTTTAAGATATTTCTACTTGCCAAGCTTTTCTTTTCAAAGTATAATCCCAGCTTTAACTCAGGGGGCATCTGTAAACATAAAAAGTTTCTTAATCATTTCGAGATACTGAACATCATACTGTTTACTGCACTCGAGCTTCAGTATTCAGATTTTCAATGTGCACTAAAGCTGTGTAAGTTTAAAACGTGTAGGAAACGTCTACGTGCATCTGTACAAGGTTGAACACATTTAATTTTAATAACAAAAAATCTGCGTATCTTCTTTTGAGATGTTCCCGGTTTGTAATGTTATTTGCGGGCTTTAATTCATTAAGTGTGTTTCGGTGATAATTCACAGACAGAAAGAGATTTTGGTGCTGCCCTTCTCTTCAATACGAAATACAATACATAAGAAATGCCACCGAGAATCTCGAACACAATGAATCGTGTGTTTTGTACACTGGTGTGCAAAACTTAAGCAACATTTTAATCGTATAGCCATGAAATTGTTGAAAAGGGGTTCAGTACAATGAACACGCAATTCAGTAGAAAGGACATGCGTATGCAAATGTCAAGAAAAAAGTCACAGGCTACGTGAACGTACGCAAAGCGCGTACGGTCGGCGCGCTCAACTCGAAATTACCATAAAAGGAAGGATGCAGATGCAAATAAAGACATTCGCTGCAGGTGCAGCCCACCAGCGGCCGAGCGGTAAATTTGCTGAACACTGGCAGTTCGGTCCGAGGTTCGAATCCCGCGAACAAGCTGGCTGCATGGGCGTTTTCGTGGTTTTCCCCATGTGTAACGTGTATACGGGCCAGTATCCCTTAGAACGTCTTCCACGAAGGCATCCCTCCCCTTAGGCAGATAGCCCTAGTGTGCTTTGCCATAATTAAATACACCTGCAGTGCAAGAAGTTCTTTCGCTGCAGGTGCAACACTGCTGCAGGTGCAAGGAGTTCTTTCGTGAAATATGGCTAGAAGAAATGATCTGGATGACTTCACACGTGGAAGAATGATCGAAAATCTGGAGTAGGGGCGAAGTGTGACCAGTATAGCTGAAGAGATTGGAATCAACAAAAGTGGCGTTTCGCGCGTTTAGAAAGTCTTCCAAACCATAGGTACAGCTATTAGAAAGGTTGGTGGTGGCCATCCCAGGAAAACAACTGCAGCAAATAACCGATATATAGTCCCGCAGACGAAAAGAGTCCGAAACCAGTCAGCAAGCTCCACAGCCGAACAACTGTGAACAGCAACGGGCGACAATTGTCATGGTTTACTGTGTCCAAACACCTTCACAAAAGTGGCCTATGCGCCTGCCGTCCTGAACGTTGCATTCCTTTGAAAGTTGGCCATCGGCTTCACCGTTTACAGTGGTGAAAGGAGCGCAAAAACTGGGCATCTCATCAATGGAGTCGTATTCTCCTTACGGATGAGAATCGTTTTAGTGCCACAAGAGATTCTCTAGACAAATTAATTTGGAGAGAGGTCGGCACACGGTTTAATCTCAGTAACATTACAGAAAGAGACCTTTACGGTGTCCTGAAGATCTCGTCTGGAGAAGCATTATGCTGAACGGGCGCAGAGAGCTCCACGTTTTCGCCAGAAGTTCTGTAACCGGAGATCGCTATCGTCAGGAGGTGATCCTTCCCCATGTGCGTCTGTTCCGAGGTTCCATTGGAGCAGACTTCGTTTTTATGGATTACAATGCACGGCCACACCGGACTCTTGCTGTTCAGAAGCTACTGAAAAGTAATGATATCACTCGAATGGATTAGCCAGCGTGCTCCCTTGATTTAAACCCCATAGAACATATGTGGAATGCTTTGGGAAAAATCTTGTGACACGATTACATCCTCCGGGGAACTCCCAGCAACTGAAACAAATGCTGATTGAGGAATGGGCCCTCTTACCTCAAGATCTGTTGGACAATCTGGTGCTGAGTATGGAGAGACAGTTCGAAGCAACCATTGCAGTAAGGGGAAGGCATATTCCATAATAAGGAACATCTACTTGTTGTTCTTCCTCTTGTACAGAAAATCATGTGTAACGATACTATGAGTTCAATAAAGCCTGTTTTTGTTTGATTCTATACTGTATGCATTGTATTCATTTTTAGAACAATTATGCTTTCGTCATCGTTTAAATACAAAATGCTGTCTCTTAATTCTGAATTTCATGTCTCTCAGATGAT